GAGAGAGAGGGAGAGAGAGAGAGGTGAGGGAGTGAGGCAGTAGCCACTGGGAAGGGTAGGTGACAGAGTGGTAGACAACACACCAGTGAGCGTCTAGAAACAGGAGAGAGAGGGTGTCCATTCAGCAAGACCAAATTTGTGTTGCTTTGACAAATGTTCTGTGGAGAGTGTTTCCCAACTTTTGCCTATGCCTATTGGCAGCTCATTCTCCAGAAACTAAGAGCAGCGGCACATCTGGGCTGTTTGTGAGCCTGGACTTCTGAGATGCACGACCGGCTTCGCAAGCTGGGCCAGCGATCACCAATGTGCACTGGCCGACGGCCCAGATCTGTGGATGATAACCAAAGGACTGCCCGTGGATCTGGGCTGTCCGGAGCCCAAACATCCCATATGCATAGCCCATCTTAGATTTTGCGATTGGCCGCACATCGGAGCTGTTGGCCATCCCACTGCCCAGATTGCTGCATTATGATGATTAGCAATTTCTATTGCTGTGGAGATGAGTCAAGGGTGTCATAGATGATTGAGTCATTGGGCAGGATGTGACCCAGATCGTATTTGCAATTTCTATAGGGGTGAGGACGAGTCCATAGGGTCAAACATCTTTTGAACTCAGTGGAAAGTTGGAAACTTGAAAGAGAAGAAACCCACCTTATCAATGAGAGCATGAAGTTTCCTCAGCTGTGCAGTTTTCAAGCTCTCACTGGGATCCTGTGTGACAAAAGAGCAACAAGCCACAAGCTCTTAGCATTCCTCCCGTTTCTCCGTTCCTTGGGCAGTGAAAATGTTTCCTTCCACCGACGGACAGAGGGATGGAAGAACAGACAGACACAGACAGAGCCAGTGACAGAGGCAGAGACAGAGACAGACGGACGGACGGATGGACGGACAGACGGAGACAGAGACAGAGACAGAGACAGAAACAGAAACAGAAACAGAAACAGAAACAGAAACAGAAACAGAGGCAGACAGACAGACAGATGGATCTGGATCAAGAACTAAGAATGAAACCAACCTATCCATGCTGGAGGATAAAGGCCTTATTTTACTGAAATTTAGTGGAATCAAATTCAATCAAGTACTGAAACAGGCAGAAATAGGAAGCTAAAAAAACAGTGCAGCCAGAGAGACTGTGCAGGAAATATACGAGGCCTTATTTTTTTTCCGGTAAACGGAACCTTAAGGTTCCGGCTCCTTATCCATTCTGGGGAGCGTCAGTCCGGTTCCTATTCCACCGGCAAGTCGGAAAAGATTACAAGATATACACACTCACGCTCCTCCCCCTTGTGGTGTGGAGGCCCGAAGGACGCCATTGATTACTTCCCGAGGGAAAAATGTACCACCCTTCACCCCTGCCTAAGTTAGCCTGTTTTACTGGGAACCTGGATTTGTCTCATGATTGGTGCTAGAACCCTAACCCTGACTTGGTACTTCGGCTCTCCGCCACGAATCATCATTCGATAATGTTCTCGATAAACTAGTAGGTTTATATAGGACCACGCCCGTCTCAGCACATTGTTGACTGTAACTTATCTTCGGGGATCGTATTTGTATCATAGCTTGAAGAGATTGGGGGGTATAATCTGAGATCTAGATGTCTCTTGAAGGGGACGGTTTGGCTTAGGGTGGGGTTGAACTTGGCAGGGGGTGTTGTTGAGTTCTGGCGGGTGGCCGGTTTGGGGATTGTGAATTTATCATGGTACACAGGTATTGTAAGGAGGGAGTGGGTGGAGCGGGAGGAATGTCGGGGATTGTGTTGGTGTGGGAACAGACGCTTGCGGGTGTGGAGGGCGAGGTGGGGGGAAGGAATGGGGCTGATGGGGGGCGAGGGGTTTTGGATGGTTCGGTGGTGGGCAAGTGATGTTAGGGTGGATTGTGGATGATTGTGTGTGGGGTGGGGAGGTTGTGTGGAAGCATTATATCTGCGTTATGGTTGGCCAGTTCTTGAGAATTAGTCTGCCGTTGTTAATTATGCCAAGCAGCCCATTGCCTAGTTTGGAGATGGCGAATTTTTGGATTATTCGATTTTTTTTGTCTGGGTCAGTTGGGAGATTCTTGAGTTGCTTTTTCCATAGGGCGGGGATTTCGGTGTCTATTAGTTGTTGGATAATGATGAGTGGGTTTTCGGGGGTGGTGAGTCGGTCGTCGAAGGTGTTGTCACATCTGTTTTTCCATATGGCCCATAGGGTGCTTTTCTTGATTTGGGAGGCGAGGAAGGCTTCGAATCCTTTGAGCGGGGGTAATTGGTTGAGGTCGAGGAATAGTGTGGCGGGGTTAATTAGTATGGGAGAGTCTGAGATTTTAAGCCGTGATGATTCTTGGGGTTCCCAGAGGGATCTTGCCTTTGGGCAGTCCATGAAACAGTGGTTTAGGGTTTCTGGGATGTCGAGGTTGCATACCTTACACCAGTAATCCTGTTCAGATCTGTTTCCTTGGTTGTGTCTGATGGCCAACCATTTATTTACTGGGACTGCTCTAAAGGCTATTAGCCATCTCAGGCTAGCTAGCTTAAACGGTCTTGTGGATAGTACTGTTGCCCAGGGAAGTTTGAAGTGAGTGTTAGCTAATTGTGGCTCCTCCTTTGTCCACCTGTTGCGTTTTGTGTTGGATATCGAAATGGGTTTGGTGAAAAGACGATAGCTTAGTTTGGGTGTGTAGTCAGTTAGTTTGCAAGAGTTGGGGATGAGGGTGGAACCGGAAGTGGAGATCCATGTCCATTCTGTGGGATCAATCTCTAGGTCGCTGACGTTAATATGTTGTTTCTAAACTCTTTTTCTTTCTCCTTCTAAGATTTTGATTCTTCGTAGGTTGTTGCTTTTGAATGCTCCTTCTACTCTGCTCTTTGTATTGATATAGCTTACCGTGTTTCCTGGTTCTTCTAGGGTGTGTATGTCACAGCATATCCATTTCTTGTTGTGGGGTTCGTAGTTCTTGAATTCGAGGACTTCCTAGATTAATGGGGAGTCGATGGTGGTGGCCCAGTCTCCAAATTGCCATTCTTGTTTTGATTTTAGTACGCCCCGCCAGTGTAGGGGGATGCAGTCTATGATGTCAGTTAAGTTAGTTTGTAAGTGGTGTACTCCTTTAAGTTGTTCTCGTAGGTCTCTTTCTGTTTTCCAGGTTTTGCTTGATTCGTCCCAAATGTGCTTGATTTGCCATATTCCCTTTTCAAGCCAATGTCCCCATTTGGGTTCTGATTTTGAGAGTGTGAGGCTTTCCCTTTTATCGTTCCTAATCAGTGGGTTGCCGAAGAGAGGTTGCCTAAGGACTTCGTCTTTCTGAAGTTTCCTGCTGCAGCATTGGAATTTATTTATTTTTGTTAATAAAACAGGTCCTTATGAGGCCAAGCGACCTAGCACAGTTGGTTGAGCACGTAAGTGGTAGAAAAAGGTTTACCCGAAGGGGCTTGTTGGTCAATAGTAAGCCAAAGAATTTTGGGTATTGTAGCAAAAATGTTTCAGCCCCCAGTTCCTAAGGAAAAAGTATCAAGAGAAGGGAATAGTATCTTGAGTACGGAGGAGGAGGAGACACAAGGAGATTCGCAATTTAATGAGTCCTTGGAGAACAACAATAACAATGATTCAGGTAAAATAAAGGGGGAAGGAGGAGAGGTAATAGTGGAGGAAATTAGAGAGAAAGAACAATATGACGCCTTCCATATAGAGCAAGATAACGATAAGGTAAGAAAAGAAGGGGGAAAAGTTAAAGAAGTTAAAGAAAAAAGGAGTGAGAACCCAAATCCAGCATCCCTCGAGCAAAAGAATGATGCAAAAGAAGATAGTATACGGGCATCAAATCATATGATAAAAGAGGGAGTGGATCTAGGCAAAAGAAAAAAGATGCGTCATGCACTAGAAAAAGGACACGTTGAAGGTTTATCCCCTCCAAGAGGCAATTTAGTAATTCCAGTCAGGAAGAAAGGAGGGAAATGGGAAATTGGTCTCTCTCCAATAGGACAGGACCAATATGGTGGGGTGACTCTGAGAGGTTGGAGTACGCATGTAGGATATCAAAGTCCGGGAGATAGGACCTTCAAAAGAGATCTGCATGACTTCCTGTCCAAGCATTATGATCCAGGACCACAAGCGACTCTCACACTAATGGGAGATCGGGCCAAAATGGCGAAACGGGATACCTTTGTACGTTTTGAGGACAATAAGGAATCTGGGCTTAAATGGTACTCCCATGCGGCCTTGCTAGAAATGCAGCAACTTAAGATAAAGGCCAATGTGGTGTGGTCAGTAGCAGAGGTGACAACTTTTTTTTGTGCCATTCTTCGCAATGAACTTCTCTCCTCGCTATCAGTGTTGGAAGGGGAAGGATGGGTCAGATTATAGTTCAATTACATTAATTAATATATTATGGCAGGATGGATGCAATACAAGCATGGTATGGTAAGAACCCATCCTGGCAAAGAGCTACACGAACAACGGATCTAGATTTAAGGTCTCTCAATGTTAATGGTCTGGCCACAGCAGATGCACTGAAAAGCAGAGCAAGTATAGAACAATTTAAGGGGGTGGGAAGAAGATCATGGCCAAACCTGATATGTATTCAAGAAACCCATCTTATAGACTCCCCAACTCATAATCGAGCACATAACCTGATTTGGCCCTATCATAAATATCAAGCTTATGCGACGAGGAATAGTTCAGCAGGAGTGGCAATATGGATTCCCCCGGATTCCAGGGCAGACATTATTCATTGGGAAGCTGACCAGGAAAATGGAAGATGGGTTGCAGCGCTGGTTATGCTGGAAATAGAAGTAGTATGTGTACTCAACATATACGGACCTAATGAGGTGCAAAAGCGAAAACAATTTTTTTAGGATATTCGAAATTATATCCCAAACGGTTTACCAGTCATAATAGCAGGAGATTTCAATGCAGCACCAGACAGGTGGATGGATAGGTGGAAGATCCCGTCGCCATGCCCTATGTAGGATCTTTCCACAAGAACGACTTTTCACATGTATTAGGAATATTGGCACCCCTCATCTATCCAGATCTAGACTAGACTTGATACTTATGTCAAAAGACCTAGATCACACATTGGTAGGGGCTAATATTTTTCCTCAAAGTCCATGGCCGGGAGCAGATCATAAAATGTGTGCAATTTTGTTGACCTTTCAAAAAAAAACAGATCAAGGCAAAAGTTTTTACAAACTCAACATATCCCTTTTGAAAAGGGAGGATTTTAGAACATACATTAAGGAGGTATGGAAATTTTGGCATACCACGGAAAATAGACATGAGTCTTATATAGAATGGTTCAATAATGGATTAGTGTATTTGTCAAAAAAATGTAATGAATTTTCTAAATTAATCGCTAAACAAAAATATGCACAGGAAATGGAAGTTCAGGAAAAAATTCTTCAATATGAAAAACAGGAATCATCGGAAGAAATCACTCAATCGAGAGAAATTCAGGAATTGAGAAATCAACTCCTTTCCTTTGCCCAAAATAGGTGGCAAGGCTTTCTTGTAAGAAGTAAGTTATCTAGACATCAGTCGGAAGGACAAATGAATTCCTCCTTTTTTGCTCTCGCTAAGGCAAGGGTAAGAAGGACAAATATAGAAGCCTTGATAGACCCGAATCAATCTCCTCATTTAGAGTCAGTCTCATCAGGTGGTAGTTTGAAAGTCGCATATGATTTCTTTAAGAATCTTTATACATCTACGCTGGATCAGGAAAGGGCGCAACAGGAAACC